GGTCACGAAATTCCAGGAAAAGGGTTAAAATCTTTCCAGGCAATAGTTTGTAATCAACAGAATGTTTTGAATGTAAATGATTTTGTCTTGTCTGAAATATGTTCATAAACATCCCAAAACATGCACACAAAGTTTGTCAAAATTAGAATCCAAACACATCAGAGTTCTTTAAAATCTACAGGAGAAAAGGGGCGTGGCCTTGACGTTTTGTCAGAGTACCCATATGCGCCCATCTGGTCCGCAGCGAGAATGTCAAATGAGCGACGAAAGATAGTTAACATGTGGGCCAGCAAAAAAAATCATAAAAGTTTTGAAAATTTTCTGGTAAAAATTTGTGGGAACTCTGAAGTCAAGAATTCTAAATAAAAACATTTATGTTTAAAGAATAAGTAAAGTGGTTCTCGATTCCCATCCCTCCTCACAATATCCATCAACATTATTAAATAATCATAACACACAGCTCTAAACTTTACTACAACAAGTCCAGCGTCACTGTGAGCCTAGAAAGTCTGTTAAATTCATGTGAAACTTGAGCCTGCTGAGTTTCATTGTGAAAAGCCTCCCAGCCCTCGTCTCTCTCCAACAACTCTGTGCTTTTGTTTTTAATATTTGAATACAACTTTATTCACTGTAAAAAACCCACACTAAACACACATTAAACACACAGTAAACACATTAAACACACAGTAAACACACATTAAACACACAGTAAACGCACATTAAACACACAGTAAACGCACATTAAACCCACAGTAAACACACATTAAACACACAGTAAACACACATTAAACACATGTTAAACACACAGTAAACACATTAAACACACAGTAAACACACATTAAACACACAGTAAACGCACATTAAACCCACAGTAAACGCACATTAAACCCACAGTAAACACACATTAAACACACAGTAAACACACATTAAACACATGTTAAACACACAGTAAACACATTAAACACACAGTAAACACACATTAAACACACAGTAAACGCACATTAAACACACAGTAAACGCACATTAAACCCACAGTAAACACACATTAAACACACAGTAAACACACATTAAACACATGTTAAACACACAGTAAACACATTAAACACACAGTAAACACACATTAAACACACAGTAAACGCACATTAAACCCACAGTAAACACACATTAAACACACAGTAAACACACATTAAACACATGTTAAACACACAGTAAACACATTAAACCCACAGTAAACACACATTAAACACACAGTAAACACACATTAAACACATGTTAAACACACATTAAACACATTAAACACACAGTAAACACACTAAACACATTAAACACACAGTAAACACACATTAAACACATGTTAAACACACAGTAAACACACATTAAACACACGTTAAACACATGTTAAACACACATTAAACACACGTTAAACACACGTTAAACACACAGTAAACACACATTAAACACACATTAAACACACGTTAAACACATGTTAAACACACAGTAAACACAAACACACATTAAACACACGTTAAACACATGTTAAACACACATTAAAGACACAGTAAACACACATTAAACACATTAAACACACATTAAACATGGCTTAATAGAGACAGTGTCAAACACAAATCAGCTTCACTATAACTCGCAGCATTCACAGACAAACACTTGTCTTTATCTGGACACATTTTCCCCACAAATACAACATGCTAACGTTATTAGCACAAGTCTTGTATAAGTTAGCCTAGTGGCTAGCAGAGATTTCCTCTACTCATATGAAACCAGCAACATGTAACAAAGGTAACGTTACAATATTCGACTCCATTACAACTCACAAGGTTCACTGACAAAACAGCTGTCTTATACTAAACACATTTTCACCACAAATACAACATGCTAACGTTTTTAGCACAAGCGTATGGCATTTTACATTGTATAAATTAGCCTAGCAGCTAGCAGAGATTTCCTCTGCTCATATTTCAGCCAGGATAAATCACACACAGTGTGTGGAGGCTTTATTGTCTTCATGATTTATTGTTTCTTATCTGTGAAATTAAAGTAAATCAAAGCTTTGTTTCCACTGAGGGAAATGGTTTCAGCTCACAGAGACAGACAGGAGGTCTGAGTCACTGTGACACTGTGGAGTTGGGGAGGTGCACGGTGTAGGTTATGGTGTAGGTTACAGCATTGATTCAACGCAGAAGTATAAATTCCGCCTTAATAATAGAACAGTCTGATGGGTGCAAAACATGACATCACCTTTAAAACCAGGAAAAGGCGACACTGGCAGTATGACCATATCAGAAACCTGAGACAATAACTGGTCTCATATCATCGTACCAAAGTAATATCAATATATTGTCCAGTTCCAGTATAAACACATGTTTTTTTCCATAGAAGTGAACGCTGTTTCCTTATAATTAACTTTAAAGTACCATCAGACACACGGGGACAGTGACTGACGGGGAACATGCAGCAAAGGTCTCCAGTTGGATTCAAGCGCAGAGGGATTGTTGGCTTGTCAGTACTGAAAAACTACAGAAATTGAGAAGAAGATTTCTGACACTATCAGACGATCCGACCAGCAGTCGGACTGAAGCAGACTGTAGCCGTCAGAAGGTGGTTTGTTATTTTAACCAGCAGGAGTTATGGTCTGTAAACGTGTGTACAAAAAACAGTAAGTACATATTATTTAAATGCTTTAAGCCTGTTTTTCACTAGCAACAATTAGCATTAGCATTAGCCACAGCTAGCTTTAGGGTGAGCTCCACCCTCTTGTCCAAATATGGTCACCTCTGGCTCCAAAAAAACAAGACGGCGGCAGCTGAAATGCAGAACTGTTTCAGACATCCCTAAACAAATGGGCGACGTCACCATGGTTACGTCCAGTATTTATACAGTCTGTGGCTGAATCCAAATGTCCGCCCTCTGGATCTGCAGACTGAGCCCTCACAGACTTCAGTTGTGTGTAATGTGACCAAAGTATGTGATTCAGAAGGCACCTGATGTAACATCTGTAGTACAATGAATCGTGGGTAATTAAACCAGTGATGTCTGCTCCCCAGGCGGACTCTCTGGAGGTCTGCAGGAAGTCCTCTTGGGTAGTCCTGTGAACTGGTTGAATTGGGGATTTGGAGTCCTCAGCACTCCCAGACTTCCAGGGAATGCGTTTGCAAAGTCCGTGAATCTGCAAGTGTGGACGTTTGGATTCAGCCAGGTCTCCAGGAAGCACGTCCGGCTTTGAAGCCAATTTTTCGTAGCAGTGAAATTACAACTTCTGAGTCCATCATGTGATGTCATTCACCCCAACAACACTTGATCCCATTGACTTACATTTAGACAGAGACGTCTGGAAGTCAGTGGATACGTTTTTTGAGCGTCACAACTGCTGCAAAATGACTCGTTCCACTTTCAGGATCAAGGCATTCAGGCCGATAACATTTTGAAAGTCTGGAAGAGCCGTAAGATTACATCATTTCATCCCTTCCAAGTTAACGGAGCGCTGCACAGGAAGTAGTCAGTGCCGTTGTCATAAGTCTAGTGCGTCTGCTCTATGAACCCAGTGATGCGTGATTAGCATTGATCATCTGTGTGATGTTGTACAGTGGACATCGAGCATTTTTTGGCGTCGTGCTCCGCTGAGCAGCTTTCATAACAATAAACTGGGTTCAGCCGTCAACGCTGTATCCAGGTCCCTGAACACATCCGTGTTTTTTACAGACAGCAAACTAACCGCAGACACTTTGATGTACCACTGCACTAGGGCCGGGCGATATGGCAAAAAATATTATCATGATAATCTTCCCTGTAATGATTGATATTGATATTTATCACGATATATAACCTGACAATGCTGCGAGTTAAAAAGTATCCTGATAATCTCGTCGTAAAGCTGCGGCAGAGCAGTTTGAGAAAAGTATTTCCTGCCTGGGAGCTCGTACCTGCAGTCTCACGCTTTAATTAATTTCTTGGACCCGTCTGTCTCCACGGAGCTCATGGGCGTCACGTCTTTGATGAGAAAGTACGACACTGCGTCTGTTACATCTCTGCTCCTTTCCCATCACTTCTCATACGGGCTTATGGCGTCAAAAGACGACACTATTGATTGGTGTTTTGGTGCCGCCCCTCTAGCCCCGCCCACAGCAGCAGATGTGCTCGGCCGTTTAACACTTGTTGGTGAACTTACTGCAGATTTCCATGCTCTCAGTGTAGTCGCTGGGACGCCACCTTCTCAGGTGATGGAAAAGGCGTGTTGCGTTTCCTGTCCTGGTTGGCCCCAACTGACGACGTGTTTTACTGACCGCCGCTGTCCGTGTGTCGTCGCCTTTCAATTAGCCAAACCACTTCTAAATTACTGAGGTTGTGTGACCTTTTCATCAACATCCATTTTTGAGGATAACACGAGCTCTTCTTCAGCTTCATTTCCCCTCTTTTTGTTACGTCCAAGCTACTCTCACTTCCTCCTCACCTCGACTCAAACTTTGCAGTAACAAAATGGGCGTGTACAACGACATGCACATCCCCAACACTGCAGACTGACCGACAGCTGATCAGTCTAGGTCTGTCCATGTCCAGGAAAAATGACTAGAGTTTATCATCGACATACGTTTTATTGTGATCCTTTTTGAGATTGTTTTGTCGCCCGGCCCTACGTACCACCGTACTCCAGTGCACTGTGACATCACAGTTGGGGGCGTGGTCAGTAGAGCAGTGTGTGATTTATTGTTTAATCAGCCTGTATCTTTACGTTAATTTAAAGCATCTCCAGTGTCCTGATACCAGACAGGTCTGACCGGGTCAGCTGACCCTCTGATACCCCCCACCAACACCCAGTAATAAGCTGACCTGCCATCTGTCAGAGCTGCTGCTGATTGGCTGAAGACAGCAATGTCTGAAGACGACACTGGCTGGCAGGCTGCCTGGAAGAAGGGGCGGGGATGTCAGCTGATTGATAGAGAGGAGGAGGAGGAGGAGGAGGAGGAGGAGGAGGAAGAGGAGGAGTCAGAGGAGGAGGAGGAAGAGCAGCTGAGTCGAGTCTGTAAATCCACGATGAGCCGGCTCTGCTGCAGACAACAAGTGTGCGCAGACAGAGAGGGAGGATAAAACCAGGTTACTCTGTAACAGAGGGAGAGAGTGACGGGACGGGAGAGAGCAGAAAAGGAGGTTACCACGGCAACTCCTGGGACGTCGCTGCAGTGGCGGCGAGGACACCAGGACACGCAGGTAAGGTTACAGCTGCTGTGTGTGTGTGTGTGTGTGTGTGTGTGTGTGTGTGCGTGTGTTGGTGCATGTGTCTGCATACGTGTGGTTTTATTAGCGTGTGTGTTGGTGGATTGAGCAGTGCATGCTGGGAGGAGGAGGAGGAGGAGGAGGAGGAGGAGGAATCCTATTAGCAGAGTCCAGGAAAAGTAGGGCTCTAAGTGTGTGCTTATCAGTCTGTCACACACACTTCAGGAAGGTTTCCAGCTTTTTTCTTTGTACATCTGAGGGTCTAAATAAAGTTTTGTTGACGGTTGAATCAGCTGATCTGAAGTCAGTGTGAAGGCTCTCTTCAGGTGTCAGACTCCAGTTATAATCATGTAGATGCAGTGGTGTGGTGGTGGTTGATGTACTGACGGGAAGTTCGTCCACTCTCCTGTATATTCCCGTGGCGTTCTAGCTGACAGGTTTGTAGACTGTAAGCAGCCATTAAAAGAGGAGCGTATAGCGTATACCTGCATATACTCTTCACTACACCTCTGGTTACATGGCTGTAAACTGTAAACAGAGTACAGAGTTCAGCGTCAGATTAAAGTCAGCCGACGTGAGGCTTCTTATTTCATCACTGTTTTAGCTGAACGCCATAAAAACAACAAAATCGGGGCTGAAGCCGTAGCTGATTAACTTCAGGGTTGAGATTAGCAGCAGACACCAGACAGAAGCTGGTAAAATGTGCAAGTGGCTGCTAGATTTGGGAATCCACCAGCTAAAGTGGCAGGTGGACAAAAAGGTTTGATAGCTGTACAGACGTTTCAGTTCGTCAGGACTCTTTGGATCCCTAAAAAGTCTTAAAAGGCATTAATGTAAATCTAAGGCCTCGGGCCCCGATCACACAGGAAGTGTTTCAACAGCTGGAGGCGGCTTTTTGTAACAGTTTTTAATGAGAATGAAGCTTTTTGCTCGCTGTTGTGACGCGCCTCATGTTTCTGCGCTCTAGGCGCCTGGCGTTTTTCCTGGAGTGCTCTGGAGTTGAAAAACCTTTAACTCAGAGCAACAAAAGCACCCACGTCACCTCTTTTTCCCCATTGTCCAATGGGATGATTAGAGAGGCGGGGCTTCTGTGGTGGTCACAACAACATGTTTACAGTTGGTAAACAATGGAGGAGAAACTGGTGGTAGTGGTTGCTGGATACCCAGAGCTATACGGCCTCACAATAGACAGCAGGTTGTCAAACTGCCCCTGAGTCATCCTAAAATCTGCCTGTAAACGTCCATGATGGAGGAGAAGCTCCTGGACCAACTGGTGGTACTCCCCATGATCCAGCCTCTTTTTTAGGGTCTCATGTACCCACACAGATCTCTGTTTATCTGCTGACAGCCTCTCAGTAGTGGCATTCAGTTAAAAATAAAAGGCAGTGCATTTTGTGTTTGCAGCCTGCAAAATGCTTTCTGTGTGATCGGGCCTTAACTGGTATTAAAACTTTCAAAAATACTAAGACATGGGAAGTAGGATTTTTATGTTTTTTAACACTGTATTGTAAAACCTCAAAAAATAACTTCAAAAAAGATGAAAATAATCCACCGAACACCTTTTGCATCAAAATCACCATAAAGTCATGTTTTATGTTACAAGAAATATTTGGGCAAAAAACTGAAGTCAGGTCATGTTCTCCTTTTTCTTAAATTTCCCTCTGAGTGGCATTAAAAAATCTTAAAAAGTCTTAAATCCCACTTGTGCTCAGCTGTAGGAGCCCCCGAAGGGTTGCAGAGATATTCTGGTTTCAAGGTATCATGATATAAAAGTTGACAGTTATCACACCGTGTACATTTGCTTATCTGTGATATTAAAAAAATGCAACTGGAGAGAGAATCTTTCCTGAGTTATTTTCTAAAGGAAGATTTTTTTACACAAACTTTAAATAACAAAATGATTTTAAGTTTCAATTACAGTAATAGAACATTTAACCAACAATGACCCTTTTGTTTTCATTCCTTTAAGGCTCATTATAACTAATAATAATATAAATTCCGTGATACTGTGAAACCGCAGTTACCATACTGTGAAAATCTCTTACCGTTGGAACCCTAAACCCTGGTTATTTTTCAAGCACAAACTCCAACCAGTGTGAGGATTTATTTTTTTAGTGTTAATTTTCACAAATACTGAGACTCAATAACCTCGACGCTAAAATCAAAATGTATCAATGAAGAAAAAAAAAAGTAAAAAAAGACAAAAGTTAAAAATGCATCTATAGTAAAATAAACACAGAATAATGTAACATTTTTTTGAACAAGGTATTTTTACTGATTATTCAATAAGATGCACAAAGCATCAACTAACAAACGTAAAACCAACAAGGACAAAAATCAGCCTCACCCACCAATTAACCCAGAAACAAATGAGGAAAGCCAGACCAGTGAGTGGAAATAAAAGACAAAACAAAAAAAAGAAAATAATAAAAAATATATTTTTTTTAAAATATATATACATAAATATAGAAAAAAAGAAAATGAATATAAAAAAAAAAATAAAAACAATGGAAAGAGGCCGTCAATATAGAGGTCACGTAGGTGATTCCATTGTTTGACCATATATCAAATGCTGCATCTCTTGTAGACGGAGTGAACATTAGGTTTTTTTGCTACTGGTGCGGCAAGCGAAGGGTCCACTAGTTTGAAGTGCCGTCTGAACTGATGAAAAATTTTAGTAGCATACTTTACAACTGGATTTGGTGTGGCGTTGGATAAACATTGTGATAGTGGCAGTTCAGCACATAACATTGATAGGGGATTAAACTGCGTGGATGCTCTCTCCATTATTACGACATCTATTGCACGTCTGTCCGTCCTGGAAGAGGGATCCCTCCTCAGTTGCTCTTCCTGAGGTTTCTACCGTTTTTTTCCCGTTAAAGGGTTTTTTGGGGAGTTGATCAGCTGATCAGCTGTGAGGGTCATAAGAACAGAGGGATGTCGTATGCTGTAAAGCCCTGTGAGGCAAATTATGATTTGTGATATTGGGCTTTATAAATAAAATTGAATTGAAATTGAAATTGAATTATCACCCAGCTATCAGTAACGTCATTTCTTAACCAATATAATGTTGCTCTAATGTTAGCGGAGGTAGGTAGTATAGAAAATTTGGCAGTGACATGCCTCCTGTTTTACAAGGTCTCTGTAATATTCTTCCCTTGATTCTGGATGGTTTCTTGTTCCAAATGAAGGTTGAAATTTGACTATTTAAATTGCTGAAAAAGGATTTTGTAAGAAATATTGGCAAACTCTGAAAAATATAGAGTTTAGGTAAAATAATCATCTTGATTGAGTTAATTCTTCCTCCAAGAGATAGGGCTAACGAGTCCCAACAGTCAAAGTCCTGCTTCATGCATGACAACTTTGTATAGGTCTTTATAGTCACATGTAATCCAAATCTCCAGATATCTAATTTTTTTAGGACTGATTTTAAAAGGAATTGACGAAAGGGAGGTATCTTGGTTTGCAGTCCCAATTGGCATTAATTCGCTTTTCTGAAAACTGACTTTATAGCCACATAATTGACCAAATTCATTAAGCAGATCTTATAAGTATGGAAAACTAGATGACAGATCGGATATATAAAGTAACATGTCGTCAGGAAACAATGACACTTTATGTTCTAGGCCTCCTCGTTTAACCCCTTTGATATCTGCGGACATTCTCAGAGCTATGGCAAGTGGCTCAATTACCATGGCAAACAAAAGATAAAGGACATCCCTGCCTAGTGCTGCGTTGTAACTCAAAAAAGGGCGATATGTTATTATTAGTTACGCACTGCAGTGCCTACGGATGAATTAAGAACCTTAATCCATGATATAAATTTAGGGCCGAAGCCAAACTTTTGCAAAGTATAAAACAGAAAGTCCCAGTTCACCCGATCAAACGCCTTTTCGGCAACTAAGGCGAGAATTACTTCCTGAGTGCCGGCTGAAGAGTGATCATATAGAATATTTATAAATCGCCTGATGTTGAAGAAGGAGTGCCGATCTTTTATGAATCCCGTCTGATCAGGTGAAAGGATTAGTGGCAGGGTCTTCTCCATTCGTAGGGCGAGAACCTTTGTGAGGATTTTTTTTGTACGTATTTTCAAGTGAAATTGGGCGATAGGAGTTACATTCAAGAGGCTCTTTATCTTTTTTCAAAATGAATGAGATGACAGCCTGAGACATGGTAGAGGGAAGGGAGTGGGATAAGAAAGACTCTTCATAAACAGATAGTGGTAGTGGAGAGAGCTGGGTGGAGAATTTTTTGAAAGATTCGGCAGGATATCCATCCGGGCCTGGAGATTTCCTGGTCTGCATACTCCGTATCTCCGAGGTGGTTATCGTCCTTTCCAGTTTAGCCACCATTTCTGGATGGATTGAAGGAACATTCAGTTTCTGTTGGATTAGTAGCTTGATCTGTGGAATACAGTGACTGATCAAATCTGTAGAAGCATGAATTAATTTCTGTATTATGTGTTTGTTACAGACCTTGTTCATCACATATTTCAGGGACAGACTGAGCAGCTGTTCTCTGGCACAGCTGGTGGGCTAGGAGCTTCCCTGCCTTCTCCCCATGCTCATAAAAGTTACACTGTAATTGAAATATCAGATATTCAGCTTGTTGGGTTGCTCAACAATTATATTCTGTTTGTAGAATCAGGCGCTTTTTCAGTGTTACTGGAGAGGGCGTCTGACGATGTGACAAATCTAACTCCAGTATCTGAACTGATATTTTTTTAAGACATTCGTTTTTTTACTCTTCTCTTGTGTGCACGAATTAAATCATTTGGCCTCTTAGATATGCCTTTAGTGTAGGGCTGCACGGTATATGCGGTAGACGGTAGAAATGATATAAATTTGGCCCACGGTAGAGATTTGCGCTCTACCGTCCTATCGTCGATGACGTCATCGCACCTGCCTCAGTGTGAAAATGGCTGCGAGCACAGAGACAGCGGAGCAAGAGGGGCTGGTTCACATCCGTGATTTAGCGTAGGACGTGCAACATGC